CAATATTTACTGAATATCAACATTGTGAACCAGAGAGTCTGGGAAAGGAAAGAGCATGCTTAGTGAAGAAGGGAGGTGGGTCAGGGCCCTCAGTGAGCAAAAAGCATACTGATGAGTAAGGCCCAAGTCAGGGCAATGGAAAGAAGAAGGCTATCTTTCTAATATGAGCCAAAACTTTTATGTTACACACAAGGAAACAGACAAAAGGTTGATGTCATACAGCATGGTAAGAGCAGTATTGGGCCTGCAACCCTGGTTGCCTGCCTCTCAGTCAGGTATCTTTAATGGATATTTATTGAGTGCATATTATGTGTTAGGCATTGAACTAAGAGCTCACGATACTCAGTGAACCCAGCTGACAAAAGGTTATACTCTAGCAGAGGAAGACAGACAGTAAAATATAATAACCAGTTGCCCTCCAGCTGAGTCTGAATCATGGCGACCCCTTGTGTATCAAGAGCAGAACTGTGCTCCATAGGGTTTTCAATAGCTGATTTTTTGGAAGTAGATGGCCAGGCTTTTCTTCCAAGGTGCCTCTGGGTGGACTTGAATTTCCAAACTTCCAGTTAGCAGCTGAGCACATTAACCATTTGTACCACCTCATAACACCATAATCATAATAAATAAGGAAGTTATAGGAGTTACTAGAAGGGATAAGTGCTATGAAATTTCAAGTGGGTGGCCAGAGCAAGCTTCATTGAAAAGATGACAACTGAGGAAAGACTTGAAGGAAGAGAGAGTGAATGATGCCAATATCTGGAGAAAGTTATGGCAAATGGAAGGCCCCGAGATGGGAACATGCCTGGTGGGTTCAAGAATGATGGAGGAGGCCAGTGTGGTTGGAAGGAAGTGGTAGAAGGGAGAGTAGTAGCAACTGAGTTTCAAAAGTAATGGAGCCAGAACTTAAATATACAATTGCTGGGATTGTCAGGACTTTGACTCTTACTCTGAGCAATGGGACCAGAGGGTTCTGTTCAGAATCATGCCTTGATGTGACTTAGGTTTTTAGAAGAATTATTCTGGCTGCTTTGAAAATAAAGATCAAGCATAGTCAGATTGGAAGCAGAGAAACCATGTAGCCAGACAATCTGCAGTAATTCAGGGAAAAGTTGATTGTGGCTTGAAGAGATAGAGATGGTGAAAAGTGGTGAAAGATTCTGCATTGGATGTAGGTATGAGAAAAAGAGGACTCAAAGTCTGCAAAGTTTTGGACATCAGCAGTCTGGTGAGAGGAGAAGGTCTGTGGACAAGGATGCATTTTTTTTCCCTTAACCTCTCATCTTTTTTTTTTGTTGTTGTTGTTAAGATTTGGGTAAAAGAATAAAAAAAAATTGTATAACATCTATCTGTGTATCTTATATGTTTATTTAGGTGATTTTTTTTCCTAGAGATAAAGTGACATGAAGACCCTTCCTATTAAGCTTGCCACTGTACTTCATTTCATTCAGCAAATATCTATTGAGTGACTGTTATGTTCCGGGCATTGTTCTAGCTGCTAAAGATACAACAGTGAAACAATCAGCCTTCATGAAGGTTACATGCTAGTGGGTGAAATCATCTAACCAAATAAGTAATATATATATGTACTATGTTAGATGGTGACAGGAGCCAAGAAGAAAAGTAAGGCAAGAAGAATGCAGAGTGTTGGGTGCAGGGGTTAAGTGGAGCAATTTAGATATACTGGTCATAGAAGAAGGAGCCGTCGTGGAGCAGTGGTTAAGTGATCAGCTGCTACCTGAAAGGTCTGCAGTTCAAACTCACCAGCCACTCCACGGGAGAAAGATGTAGCAGTCTGCATCCATAAAGATTTACAGCCTTGGAAACTCTATGGGGCATTTCTACTCTGTCCTACAGGGTTGCTATGAGTTGGAGTCAACTTTTTTGGTTTTTGGTCATAGAAGGTCTCCCAATTAAAGTGGAACTTAAATAACTCCTGAAGGAGATAACGATTGGGGCTATGCCGATATCTAGGGTAGGGAGGCATCCCAGTGAGAGCTAGAAGATTTCCAGTAGACCTGGAAAGTGAGAGGAACAGCTAGGAAGCCAGTGTGGCTAAAGTGGAGTGAGACATCGTCTCTTTGCCTGTGACAGCTAAATCTTATTCAGAAACAGGTTCTGATGAGTTAAGTAATCTTTATAATTATAGTATTTATTTTTCCTACTAGTTAGCTATCTTCATCACCTTTGGATGGGTATCTGGACAGTTTTGTGACTGTTTCTGTGAGAACAAAACTGTCCAATCAATTGCAGACCTTACCAGAAGAGCATCTTACATCTCAAACTGAGGCTCTGAGGAGGAAATGGAGACTGGACTTTTCCTACCTATGGCTGGGGATGGGAATGACAAAGTACACATGTTGACCACGTACGTACTTGGAAATTTCAATGACAGGAAACTCTGAAACGGGAACTCCATTAGGATTTTCA